GCCCCAGAAAGGGGGGGGGGGGGGGGGGAGGGGGAGGTGTCTGTAAGGAAGATCTCATCCAAACACAATCCCACCGGTTGTGTGTGTTTTCTGCCCCCCGCCCCAAGGAGCCAGGTTTTGTCCCGCCTTGCTAATTGCCTTCTGCCTAGGCTGTGATCTCTTCATCTTTGCTCCCCCTTTTCGACCCCGAGAGCGGATTAAAAAAGGGGGGTGATGGAAATGGGGGACTGGATGGGCGAGGAAAGAATCAGCCATTTAAAAAAAAAATTCCCACCGGTTGTGTGTGTTTTCTGCCCCCCGCCCCAAGGAGCCAGGTTTTGTCCCGCCTTGCTAATTGCCTTCTGCCTAGGCTGTGATCTCTTCATCTTTGCTCCCCCTTTTCGACCCCGAGAGCGGATTAAAAAAGGGGGGTGATGGAAATGGGGGACTGGATGGGCGAGGAAAGAATCAGCCATTTAAAAAAAAAATCGAATGCAATTGACAACCTCCCCCCCACCCCCCAGACAGACCTGGAAGACTTTGGAATTATGGAATGAGTCAAGGTGAGAAAGGGACAAACGGGGGGAGGGCGATAGCAGCAAATCAAAAGACGAAAAGTGGGGAGGGCGGCAGCCGGGGGCCCCCAAACAAAGGGAAGGTGGAAGGACGGGCGGGGCGGAAAAGGTGCGAAACCTAGAGCCAGCCCATGGGAAGGGGGGGTGCTAACGCGAGTGGGGGTTAGTTCGAATCGCTCCCTAGACCCGTCGCGACTCCTCAATTCGGAGCGAGGGAAGGAGGGCAGCTCCCCGACCCTGCTTTCGATGCGCCTTTTCCTTCTTTCACTGTACCCCCGGGTCTTTCTTTCAGTCCCCCCCCATCTGCTCTGCGGGAAGATCAAAGGGAAAACCCGACCCCCACTTTTTTTAACAGGAGGGCAAGGACCAAGCTAGCGCACGAGTCCAGCCCTATTCGAATAGCGCCACACGAAATAACGCGCCAGATTCGCTGCGACCCTCTTTGCAACCAGGGCAGCGCCCCGACATGTCGTGCGGGGTGGATGCCGAATTGCGGAGGGGAGCAAAGGGGACCCGCTTTGCGCGGGGGAGAGAGGGGAGAACCGGCGACCCCAGAACTGGGAGCTGCGATCCATCCAAAGGAAACCCACTCGGCACACGATCGGGGCCGAGTGGAAAAGCGAGCCCGGATGAGACTGTGCTTGCGGTTGTTGTGTGTGTGTGTGTGGGGGGGGGGGGGTCCCCCCCCCCCCCAGCCTATTGTCACAGTGCAAGGCAATGGGATTTGCACACTTGAGGTGTAATAGCATTACTGCATTAATTAAAATTTTCATTTCACGTCCAGATTGTTTACTTATCTGCTGGGAACATATGTTGAGCGAAGTTAAGAGTCTGGATTTTGCATTGTCGCCCAAGGTGAATTCCCTCCGGAGGGGCGTGTGTGTGTGTGGACGGCTTCCGATTTTTTTTATTACATCCTCCAGCCCTTATCTCGGAGCTGTAAATTAGAAGGCTACTCCATTGAACTGAGTA